GCTGTGTCTAGACTGGCAAGTTTTTCCGCAAAATCACATGATTTTGCGGAAAAACTTGCCAGCTGTCTACACTGGCCGTTTGAATTTCCGCAAGAAGACAGACGATCTCATGTAAGATCGTCAGTGTTCTTGCGGAAATACTGTGCTGCTCCCGTTCGGGCACAAGCCCTCTTGCGCAAATCATTTGTGCAAGAAGGCCAGTGTAAACAGCACAGTACTGTTTTCCGCAAAAAAGCCCCGATCGCGAAAAAGTGCTTTTGCAGAAAAGCGTCCTGCCAATCTAGACGCGATTTTCTGAAAATGCTTTTAACAGAAAACTTTTCCGTTAAAAGCATTTTCAGAAAATCATGCCAGTGTAGACGTAGCCTTGGAGTTTAGTATCCTGTTCCAATATAGACTGTAATTTATTGATAATGTGTTGGACAGGTTTAAGTTGGGGGCTGTAGGTGATGACAAGTGGTGTTCTATTGTTGGTTTTCTTGGGTCTGTCTTGAAGTAGATGGTTTCTAGGTATTCGTCTGGCTCTTTCAATTTGTTTTTTTATTTCTCCAGGTGGGTAGTTGAGGTTTATAATTGTTTGGTAGAGATCCTGAAGTTTCTGGTCTCTGTCAGTGGGATTGGAGCAGATGCGGTTTTATCAAAGGGCTTGGCTATAGACGATGGATTGTATGGTGTGTTCTGGATGGGAGCTGGAGGCATGTAGGTAACTGTATGAGTCGGTGGGTTTTCTGTGGAGAGTGGTGTCTAATTTTCCATTGCTGATTTGTACTGTGGTGTCCAGGAAATGGATCTCTCATGTAGAATGGTCAAGGCTGAGACTGATGGTGGGGTGTAGGTTGTTAAAATCTCTGTGGAATGTCTCCAGTGTTTCTTGGCCATGCGTCCAGATCATAAATTCGTCTTTAGTCTTTAAAGTGCTACATAGTGCTGTTTTTTGTTAAATCCTTACTATAATTGTAATACTACACCCTTACTTTCAACCTCATTGAACCCCTTTCTCAAAAGGTAGTAAAAAATCCTTTTTCTCTAACTGATAAACCATCTGAATGTCATGGGCCAATTTCTTACACCTGCAATCTGACGTCTGCAGAAGGTTTGCCTTTGTAAGGATAGTAGGATTGGATCCTATTTGGTATCACAATTGCTGTTAGTGCCCATGTTTAGTAATGCTAATCTCTTCCATTCTGTTTATTTCCATTTACAAGTTTTAAAAGGCTTGAATCTTAACATATGTTGATTCTCAATGCAAAAATGGTTAGCACATTATTATAGCTTTCATTTTAAAGTTATTTATATTGTATTGATTTTTAGAACATCTGCTACCATAGCACATATTTAGATCTATAGGACCAGCTGGTATATATTTGCGTTATTCCACTGACAATAGAACCTTCCCAGCCTTTACTTGGAGTGACCTAACTGCATAATTTTTGACTATTGAATGTCTTGTAGATATTTTACTCAAATGTCTCTTTCTGCTAAGCACAGAACAATTACTGTAGCAAGTCTGTCGCTGCAATTCATCAAAAACCACCCAAGCATATGTTCTAGTTGATGTGTAATATAACAATGCAAAACCACATTATAGTCTGTGGCTAGCTACAATGAAGCAATTCCTACAGCATAAATTTAAAGAAAAGCCTTGAAAGCTGGTTACTACATTGGATATTCTAAAGTACCTTTCCTTCTTAGTACCTTTCTGCCCGGGTTGCATTTGACATTCTAGCTACAAGACTTCTATTTTTATTTTTTATTTGCATTGTGCTCTCACCCTTTGGTTATTTTAAATCTGCTATATCACCCTTGTGTGTGGCACAAAACTGAATGTTGAAAGGTTGATTGAACCTAATTTTTTGGTATATAAATGTGAAGGCAAATTATAGAGTAAACAAAAGATAAAGAGTTCCCCATTACAAAATATAGGAAAGCTGTAACATAGATGCTAATAATATTTTTAAAAGAACTATTGTGCAATCTTAAATTTAGCTGCATCTGCTGCCTCCACTTTAATGAACTATTTTCATTAACATTCAATTTTTTTCCTTACAAATATTTACAGTCTACTGCACAAGCACCTTTGAAAAAGCCCCCATCATTTAAACAAATAGAAAAGGATCTGAAGACTCTTAGTAAAGATCTTATTCACACAAGGTAAGAATTGAGAGTACACAGAAATTGACTAAGGCCATGGGTAGAAAAGAGATTCCTTGGGCTGCAATAGCAGCAATCTGGTTATGGACAAACTAGGCTACTTTACCTACCAACAGTTCAGAAATGGAGTTTTACTCTATCTCCATCATTTATGCTTATTCATAATGTCTTGCCTGCATGTAGGTCTATGTTACAGAGCCTTAACAAAGCACCATCACAGCATTATTATAATATAACTTATTAAGACACTTGCCACCCTCTCTTCAGTCTTTGCCAAATCTATATTGTGGTTTGATCAGTAATCAAAGCAGTAAAAAAAGTGAGCAAAATCTTAGGGTATATAAAGAATGACGGTAGAAAATAGTAGTGTCAATATTGTAATACAACTTTAAAAATGGATGTGGAGTCACCAGACACTTATAACCAACCCCAGCTTCTGGATTCCCATGTGCTTTCAAACCAGCTGGGTCTGGGCAGCAGCCGAGTCACTGGTTCTCTCTGGGCTTCCAGGGTGCAAACTCCCTCTCTGGCACCTTCCATGAGATGTGAGAACCTGTAATCAGAGTGGGTGTGTCTACACGTCACTGTAGCTCAAATTAAGGGTTGTAAATATCAATTAATTTAATAGTTGAGTAGTCAACAGAATTTCCATCAACTACTCAGCTAGTCGATAGGCACTTCCGCATTCCTCCTACAAAATATATAAGAGCTCTACTGGGGGCTATGTGCAGCCCGGGGCCAGTAGGAAGTCCCACTGACTCCAGGCTGCATGCAGCATGCCCGCTTTGAAATGCACAAAAGCCCAGGGCTCTTGTGCATTTCAAAGTGGAAGCACCTGGGACACAGCATGCTAGCTTTGAAATCCCATGCAGAACCCAGGGCCAGCTGACCCTGGGCTCCGTGCAGCATTTCCAGTCCCCAGCTGACTCCAGGTTCCACAGAAATGCTTCACGGAGCCTAGGCTCAGCGAGGGCCCAGCTTACCCTGGGCTTCACATGGCTCTGCCACTTTGAAACACCGCTGTGGCGTTTCAGAAGGGCAGCACCGCACAGCTGATCCTGGAGTCTGTGCAGCACAGCCCCTTTGAAATGCTGCCACAGTGTTTCAAAGTAGCAGCACTGCATAGAGCCCATTGCCCAGGCTTAATGCAGCGCTGCCACTTCGAAGTACCCCTTCGCAAAAAGGGGGGGGGGGGAAGCGACTAGTCAACTCAACTATCTGATAAACATTTGCTTATCAGATAGTCAACTAGTCCTTAACATCTTTAGCTCAAATTGCATATCTTATTTTGATCTGATTTCAAAATAGCTTATTTCATCATTTGCACAGTGCCAAATTTTGAAATAACCTATTATTCCGTGGGAGATGTCCCTTAATCCTCATGGAATGAGATTTACAGGGATGTCAGAATAGCGAGCCTGCTATATTTCGAAATAATGGGATTGCTGTAAAGATGCAGGATAGCTATTTTGGGATATTCCGGTATCCTGAAATAGAATTGTACTGTAGACATACCCAGTCAGGGGTGAAGAGACCTGAATATCAATCAACTCCTTATATTTTGTAATGAGTACATCCACATGTTAGAATGGAGTGGGACTTTAAGTGAGCCTTTTGCTCTGAAATCCTTTAGGTGCTTTTGAAAAGCTCCCCCTGTTAGTTTTAATCTGCAATGTAAGAGATTTAAAACTTGCTTTAAGTATAAAACTCAACATTACCTTAACTATTGAGTAGTAAAGACTCTGGATCAGTTGTGAGCACCTCCTGTCAACTGGGTGTGAACCCACATATATACTCAGCACTGTTTGTTGTATGTTAATGTTGTCAGATCTTCAGTGTTTCAGCCCTCCAACCAAGTCACATGCAGCTAATGTGTGAATGAGCAAACCCCTTCCTGGGTAAAAGGTCAAGAGGGCCTGTTCCTCCACCCTTGTTAAAATCTTTAGCTCTGTCTATGGGCTCAGTCCTCAGCCTCTTCCAGGCTTTCTTAAGTCTGTCCCTGCCATATTAGAGAATAGTGACCCAAATCTTTCTCCCCTGGAGACTCCACATTTAGTTTTTCTGTGGTGTTCCAGCTCTCCAGCCAGATCTTCTCTTAACTTCAGACCCCTTCCAGGGGCATGGGGGAAGAGTAACAAAGTTCAACAAAAAACAGGACTATGTAGCACTTTAAAGACTAACAAGATGGTTTATTAGGTGATGAGACTAGACTAACACAGCTACATCTCTATTACTAAAGTTCAACAAATGGTTGACCCTCTTTGGTGATTTCATCCCTGGGTCTAATGGCCCAGCCAATTTCTTCTAAAACAAACTTGTTACTTCTTGGGGCTTTGGCCACTTCCCCAGCAGCTGGGTTGGGTGCACATTAGCTCTCCCACTACTGTGGGTACCAATGCAGGGACCATACAAATAGCAATCCTGTTTTATTTGAATTACTATCTTCTGGTTCTCCCATGACACCCAGAAGGAACACCCTTCCTTACTCTTCTGATGCCAAACAAGCATTTGGCTTATCGCATGCAGTTCCTTTTATCAGATCCTGCTGTATTCTGATTGGCTGCTTCCCTGCAGCCTTTCTAGACAGGCCTGGAGGACCCACCTTCACTGCTCCTTTGGTGGAGCAAAGTGTGGTAGGCTCACATGGCCCAGTACACCCTATCACATTCAGATTCTCATGTAAATTAAGGCCCCTTTATACCTCTCTGACAATGTAAGGGGACCTTAAAGTATGTAAGGTGGAAGTAAAATTATACTTGCATTCACTTTAAGGCCCTTCTATACTTCCAAACTGGTCAAGAGTTATAGTTTCAGGCCAGAAGGGACCACTAGATCATCTCTCTTTGTGTCACAAGCCACCAGTGCCACCCACAACTGCACACTAAACCCAACAACTGAATTAAACCAAAGTATTTGAGCCTTAGTGTGAAAGATCCTTATTGTAAATGAGTATCCAGTCCTCTGACTCGCCATTGTTATTTACTAATTTTACACTTGTGCCTCTTTATTGTCTACTATGATTTTAAACTGGTACAATACTGGTGCAATGTAAATTAGAGAGTCAGGCCCAAAGTTTCTCTTAATTCCTTGTAACCAGTGTTTCCTGTATGCTGAGTGCTTGGGTGGCCACCAAGGAGAGATTCAAATGAAAAGTGCCCACAGCACTAACAATTGGCAGCAAGTGTTTCTAGTGGTGGTGCACATCCATATGTGTCTTGGTGCTCATAACTAAATTTATTCCACATACAAATGAAAAAAATTAGAGGGGACGTTGCTTGTAACTGAGCAGTCTAATTCCTGTTTTCACAATCAATGTAGTGAAACGTTAAAAAGAATAACATCTAAATAACTCCTTGGTCTGCTGTTCTGCCAGATTGCACTGCACTACTTAGAGACCATTCACTATATTTGCTCAGTAATAGCTTAACTAGATATTAAATTGCATTGTGTATGCTTTGCAGTGGGTAACTACAGTCTTCTGAAATATTTCCTTGGAACCTTCTAGCATTCTTTAATTTGCGTGTCAAAGTAAGAAAAAGTAAACATTTTTTGCAAATAAAACAGCCAGCATTTATTCACAAAAAAGATTTTTTTTTTTTACTCCTGGCGAGGTTTAGTTAGAGCCTGCTGCAAATAAATGCTGACAAATTACCACTGTCAACCCCAGTGGGATACAGATTATACAAGTGTTTACAACGAGAACTGTAGACTTTGAAAATCATTCTCCAGACAACAGTAGCTGAATTAAAGCAAGCAGCAATAAAGAAGATAGACATTGGTACAAGAAGCAGATAATTTCTTAGGTTAAACTGGGCAAATGTGTGTTCTCTGAGTGTCTGAAATATTTTATCAGCATAATATATGTTAAAAGCACAAATTACATTTTTCTAACTTTGGACTGAAATTGGAATTGCACAAAAATCAGAAAATTCAGAGCTGTTTCTCACAGAAAGCTTTACTCTCCTCTTTGTACATATACGCGGCAATATAATTAGAAGACTAAAATTCACAAAAGCATGATAGTTTTACGTGATCCAAATTTTATCCCTGAATTCCATTCTAGTTATGACAGGTATTATCAGAGTTCTGCTTTAACCAATGATCGTTCTTACATTCTCCCTCCCTCTCTGAACTCCTTCTCTGATTATTTTGCTTATTCAAATCTTAATGAAACTTTCTCTCATAATCTAGGTAATAAATAGTCAATAAAATAAAACAAAATAGTATGTTATCTAGGCTAATAGACCACTTGGCAATAAGGCATGACTTACTTTTTCCATAAAAGCCTTATTGTTAGCTGCTATTCAAGAGAACTACACTAGATTGGCTGTCTTTATGCATTGTTCACTGTTAATCTTCAGTGTGATTGCCTCTTTGACGTCAAATTAAAATTCTTTTGATGATAACCCTCTGGTCAGTATTGTTTCTTGAAATTTGTGATATAGTTAGATGGAGCTCACTTCATGTTGTTCTGTATTTTTTCCCTTTGGACAAAATCCACCATAACAACTGGCACTAAAGGAATCATTATTAATCTTTGCAGAGGCCTGTGATTGACTGGGCGTTGAGAGTGAAGACGCCTCATTTCTTTAGAGGTGATACCATTACAGTTGAGATGAGACATAAACCTTTTGTATCTAGACAGTGTTGGAAGTGAATAATTCCTCTCATATCTATTTTGTGGATAGGATCTGGAGTTTCCTTTATGAGCAAGGTTGCCAGATAGTTTCACAAAAAATACCGAACATGGCAGGGAAAAAATTGGTTGAGCAAAAAAAACCAAAACCCGCACACACAAAAAAGTCACGGCCCCTTTAAATCCCCACACACTCTCCCTACCAAGTGGCCTTTCATCTGAGAAAAACAGAAAATACCAGACATTATACATGTCCGGTTTTTTCTGTTTTTTTTTTACTGGACACATGCCACACATACTGGGCTGTCCAGTCTAATACCCAACACCTGGCAGCCCTATTTATGAGGGCTGGCAGTTTTATACT